TACACAACACAACACTCCTATCACTCACTCTCTCCCCAAACCCTCTCTCTCTCATTCCTGTCTTCACTGTCTTTCTTATTGCAGTTATTTTTACCGAAAATCTGAATAAATTGAATAAAAATTATTAAAAACTGGATTTAAAATTGTATTAAAATTCAATTCAATTTTTCTTACAGTTAAACACAATATTAGTTATAATTCACTGTAATATATAATGTCTTCAAATAATCTGTAAATTTATTAATGAAATGTGTTTTTCTTTAAATATTTTGATTTTGAAATTTGAAAACAAAATTTCTGTATATTTTTATTATTGATTAAATGAATAGTTTGTATCCAAAGAAAAACTAAATAAAAACTATTAAAATGTTAATCAAGTTTTAATATATTATTTTGTATTAAAATTTGTCGACAAATAACACGAATTATTTAAATTTGTTTGTTTTGAACGAATGATAAATATATTAATTGTTTGAAAAGTCCTTCAAAATCTTAACCCAAATATGGTTTGCATTCAATGGAAGAGTTTTATCGTTTAATTATTGAATGTTTGAAAAAACAATGAATTCTCTAATAATATTGAACATTATAATGATATTTATAGTAAATATAAATACACTAATTGTTTAAATTTATTTAAATAAAGTGTACGAATGGTCACCTGATGTGCGCCGGATGTTTCACCCACTTATTGGCTGACGGTATGAAATAAACTCATTATTTAATAGACTAACAAATGACTGACTTTTTCAACGCACAGCTCGTTTGCGGGACGAGACGGCCACCTGTCCTAACTGTCGGTGCGTTATATCTCGTGACTTATGTTCCCGTAATTTGGCGGTCGAGAAGGCTGTGTGTGAATTGCCCGGACTCTGTCGCTTCTGTAGCAAAGAGCTGCCCCGCGCTCTCCTCGACAAACATCAGACCGATTATTGCGATGAACGCATCGTTCGGTGCGCTTTCGCACGGCTCGGCTGTCCCTGGAGTGGACCCTTTCATGAGTCTGGTATGCATTCAATTAACAATTACCCGACTATTTTAGCTTCAATTTCAGTGTTATATCAATTAACAACTTATAAATATAAGAGCTTTGAATTAAAGGTCGTTTAAGAGTATTTACTTTTTACTGATTTCAATGACAATTATTTGTTAGGCACTCACGCAGAGACGTGTTTGCATCCAAACAAAAGTGGTCGCGAAGTTCTGGACGTTTTGGTCGGTTTGGATAAAGAGATAACTGACGAGAAAAAGCTATACGACTCCATCTTTGACTTATTGTCTTTTGAAAAGATTACATTCAATGATTTGCAGTTAAAGCCGTACCGAACCGACGAATACATACATAAGCTATATTATGAGACCTCGCGGTTCACCGCTTTTAACACCCAATGGGTTGTGAAGGCCAGAGTGAATGAGGAACAGAGAGACCCCACACAGTCATGCGAACGTCAACTCAGTTATCAAATTGTGCTCAAAAGCAAACTGACCACTCCTATGGCCATTCATTATGTCATTCTCAAAGTAAATACTACCGTATATTCATTTGCTTTAATCTTAATAAATGACCGCTTCATTGGTGTATTCAAGGGTCCATTCGGTGATATGAAACTCTATCCCCGGCTCTATAAACATGAGTTCAACGAATCGAGTAATGAGAGTCCTTTTCAAATAATATCATTGCATGACTCGCATGAATGCAACAAATTATTGGCTGCAAAGGTATTACAATGACATTAATTAAAAATAAGTTTTGTACTCATAATTATAATATTGTTTATTAATCCATTCCTCAGGCCATCAACTTTCGGCTGATTATGTTTCAAATGCAGAAATAGTTTGGATCCAAACATCCATTTCTTTCAATCTTCTATTTCTATTCAATTATATCCTTTAGTTTTATTTAATCGATAAAAACTTACCTCTAATTGGATATAATTAATATTGAGTTACGTTTAGTTAATATATTATTGTTATTACTTATTATATAAATTTGTTGGTTTGAAGTGAAATATTGAGGGAAATATTTGATTGCAAATTATAGCATAAATATTATATGACATGTGAGAGTCTATCAAAGTCTTAATCACTATAAATATTATTGAATTTAAGTTATAAAAATTAGTGCAAAATCTAT